TAAGCAATTTTTCCCTTTTTTTCAAAAAAAGTCCACTTTTTTCTGAAATCAATGTTTGTTCATAAAATTTCTAATTTTCACTTGAAGAATTATTTTTGAAAATTTTCGAAAATTTGAAAAACTCCAAAAAATCTATTTTTCAAAAATTTCACTCAAATCACTCACAAAACTTCAAAAACAACCCAAAATTATATTCATATCCAAACACAACTCTAAATTTCAAATATCATTTTCACTTAAAATTTTTTTCCACCCTTTTATGGAATTTTACAATTCTTATGTCCAAACGCCCGCTTAGTCGGACCCCAATGTAAGTAATGAACTCCTAATAGGGAAAAAATTAAATTGGGCTGCTACAAAATACCATGTTGGTACGTCAAAATCTAATGGTATTTTGTACTTGCTTATTTTATTATTACACAGTACAGTACAGGGGCACCTAACCAAAAGCTTACAAATTATACTTTAACTTAGTATAGACCAATCAGAATAATCAAATGTTATCTTTCTTTATTTTGCCTCACTACTTCAGTAAATATACCTAAACTCCGAGGGCATTTTAATAAAAGTACCTAAGCCCTAGAAGAAAGAAAAAGAAAACCTTTTTAGAAACCTCATCCTACCCACAGTGACAGTGGGTCCCACTTTAGTCTGATATCTTAGTACTCTGCTACAACACCAAATTAAGTATATTTAGATAATTGAAACAACACTTAAAAAGGCAAAAAAATTAATTGAACCCCATTAATACTCTAAAATTGTTAAAAAATACTATTCTTATGAATTGTAATGAACAATTAGCTTAGAAGGTTTATCGAGTTGGTTGTCTTATTTGTTCAACTGTTATGCAGACCTGAATTTAGTGATGAATTTGATCTCCCGTTTTGCCATAAATTTGACTAAAATTGAAAATATTGTTGGAGGTGTAATTAGAAAGATTGAATAATTGAATATATTGACTAAGATGCATAATTAGAAAGATTGACACGTGTAAGCCAATAATTTGGAGGTGTAACGTAAAAAATATTAAACTGCAAAGTATGCTATCATGTTTGTAATGTTAACTAAGAGAGTAATTTGAATAAAAATATTTTGGCATTTATCATTGTATATTTGTATTTCTCAAAACATTTATTGATGAACAACTTTAAATGAATAGACTAAGCTAGCGTTTGGACATATATATGGTTGAAACTTGAAATAAAGTATTTTTGAAGTTGTGTTGAAAAATAATTTTTTAAAGTTGAAGTTGTGTTTGAACATACATTTTACTTTAAAAAAAATTAAAGTTTTATGCGTGGAAGAAAATATTTCCACTTTGTTATCCGTGATTCGAGGGCCTTAGCGGCGTATTTCTCGAACGTAGGACTTTAAGCAAGACATATTTGACATGTCTTTGATCTCTTAATGAATATTCCAAGAGTTTCATGGAATTTCGGAGATCTCATATTTGATCTCTTTGTGCATATTCCGAGAGTTTTTGGAATTGCTGAGATTGTCTTTGAAGAACATATATAGCCTTATTTATAGGCATGAATTAGGGTTAGGGTGGAGTAGCCACCAAATAACCCTAATAGACTCCAAATATTTCAAGAGTTGTCTTAAATTTAGGATTTATCTTGATCTGTTGAAATTTCAGTGTCTACAAATGCCTCCTACTTCAAGGTTTGTCGAGGCGTAGGCTTGTTGAAACTTGAAGACAGACTTGAAGTACCCGACCATCACAACAGATAATCTTGAAACTTGATGTTTTTGATTTGTAGGAGGAAGAGATGAATGGCATAACTGGTCTCACTGGGCGTGCCAATTTATTTGCAACAAATTATTTGTGATACAAAAATAAATCGTAACCACAATATAAATATGAAGAAACACGATTTTATTGATAAACAATGCGGGTACAATTCTGTTTATCCCTTGATTCTTCCCTCCGCTTTGTTATCTGTGATTCGAGAGCTGAAGCCGTGTATTTCTCGAATGTAGGATGATGCTGACCTCCTAGGGATGTATTTGATCTCCAGTTTCTTGAACTAGTTGATTGTCAAGAAGCATCCGGCCATATTTCGATCTCTTTGTAAATATCCCAAGAGTTTATGGGATTTTGAGACGCCTCTTCAAGGGAATATATATCCCTTTATATAGGTGTGAGTTAAGGTTTAGGGTAGAGTAACCTCCAAGAAACCCTAATAGACTCCTAGGATTTCAAGAGTCCTGTAGTATCTTTAATTTAGGATTTGGCTTGATCCCTTAAAATTTTGATGTCTACAAATGCCCCTACTTTAAGGTTTGTCGGGGCGCAGGCTTGCCGAAACTTTAAGACGAGATTTGAAGTACTCGAACATCGCAACAAATGGTTTTGAAACTTGAAGTTTTTGATTTGTAGGAGGAAGAGATGAAGGGCAGAACTGGTCCCATTGGGCGTGCCAATTTGTTTGCAACATTCGCGATACAAAAATAAATTGTAACCACAATATAAATATGAAGAAACACGATTTTATTGATAAACAATGCGGGTACAATTCTGTTTATACCTTGATTCTTCCCTCCGCTTTGTTATCCGTGGTTCGAGGGCCTTAGCGGCGTATTCCTCGAACGTAGGACTTTAAGCAAGACATATTTGACATGTCTTTGATCTCTTAATGAATATTCCAAGAGTTTCATGGAATTTCGGAGATCTCATATTTGATCTCTTTGTGCATATTCCGAGAGTTTTTGGAATTGCTGATTGTCTTTGAAGAACATATATATCCTTATTTATATGCATGAATTAGGGTTAGGGTGGAGTAGCCACCAAATAACCTTAATAGACTCCTAATATTTCAAGAGTTGTCTTGAATTTAAGATTTATCTTGATCTGTTAAAGTTTCAGTGTCTACAAATGCCCCCTATTTCAAGGTTTGTTGAGGTGTAGGCTTGCTGAAACTTGAAGGTGAGACTTGAAATACCCGACCATCACAACAGATAATCTTGAAACTTGAAGTTTTTGATTTGTAGGAGGAAGAGCCATTTGGTGTGCCAATTTGTTTGCAACAAATTATTTGTGATACAAAAATAAATCGTACCCACAGTATAAATATGAAGAAACACGATTTTATTGATAAACAATGCGGTACAATTCTGTTTATCCCTTGATTCTTCCCTCCGCTTTATTATCCGTGATTCGAGGGCCTTAGCGGCGTATCTCTCGAACGTAGGACTTTAAGCAAGACATATTTGACATGTCTTTGATCTCTTAATGAATATTCCAAGAGTTTCATGGAATTTCGGAGGTCTCATATTTGATCTCTTTGTGCATATTGCGAGAGTTTTTGGAATTGCTGAGATTGTCTTTGAAGAACATATATAGCCTTATTTATAGGCATGAATTATGGTTAGGGTGGAGTAGCCACCAAATAACACTAATAGACTCCTAATATTTCAAGAATTATCTTGAATTTAGGATTTATCTTGATCTGTTAAAATTTCAATGTCTACACATATTAATCTTAATTTATTCATCGAAAATATAATTAATACTCATATGCTCTTTACTCCAAAGACAGCTTTGAAAAAAAGAAGTTAATTCCTTCTTAATATCTAAAAAACAAATATAACGAACCACAAGAAAAAGGCCAAAAAATTAATTAAAATGGACTGAGAGAGTATACCCAAGTGATAAATTAAGGTAAAATTCTGTTTTCATTTATTAGGATTTAGTGCTAGCAATATGTGTAAAGAAACATGTTATATGTTCATTGTTTCGGTGGAGCACTCGGTCTTTTTTACCATTAAATAATAATTATCTCATTTTGTCCGTTAATTACGAAATTAAAAGTCACAAACTGTCACATTTAATAAGCGAAAGGATTAATCAAACTCTATTCAAATAAAATCGTCGAATATATCACAAGAATAAGCACACATTAGAGGCAGAGCCAAGATTTGAAGTTTATGGGTTCTAAATTTACCATGGAACTCATAATTTATATTAGTTATTAAGTTTGCAATTAAATATATATATATATATATATATATATATATATATTTAAAGATTTTTCTAGTACAAATACAATATTTATGCATAAGTGACCGAGATCGGCCGAACCCGCACCTCACAGGCTAGCTCCGCCTCTGGACATAATACAAGTACAACAACAACAAACTCGATGTAATCCCGTAAGTGGGAGCTGAGGATGATAGTTTATAGTATGTTTTATCCTTACTTAATAAAGATAGAAAGACTATTTCAGATAGACCATCGGCTCAAGACAAATATAATCACAACAGTAATCGAAAAAATACAGTACCGGAGAAGCTATGAAAAGAAACAGGAATAACGGTGAGATAATAAGATAAACGAAACACAAAGAAATAACTGATAGTAATAAAAATACAAGAAAAAGAAAATACTTGAATGATATAAATACAACATGTATGAAAAAATAGATGCTCGATATCTACTAGTCTTCTACCTTAATTTGCAATTTCCACACACAAAACAAGTATATAATTTATAGTTATATACTAGTTACTCCTGTTCACTTTAAGTGATTTTTTTTGGCTCTTTTCATACATATTAAAGAATTCACCTTTTAATATTAATTAATAATGAAATCGACCATATTAGCCTTAATTTGCTCATTGGAAATATAACAAATTACTCCTAGGCTCTTCACTCCAAGGACAACTTTGAAAAGAAAAAGTTAATTCCTTCTTGATATCTGAATAAATTAAATATTATGAGCCATAAAAAAAATACCAAAAAATCACTTAAAATATACTGGGGTGACTAGTTTAATAAGGAGACAAGAGAGGGGCAAGGGGTATTAAATTTATTTCATTAATATCTGTACCAAAAACAAGGAAGGTGGAGAGAATCTAGAAAATGCCCCCATTTCCTTTTCATTTCCTTAATAACACAGAAAAAAATTATTAATTATTAATTAAATAACCAATAAGGAAATCATAGAAATAGAAAAGTAGCAGTATAAGTGAAGGGAAAAAAAAAAGCAGAGAGGAATAAAAAGGAGACCGGATGTTGACAAATTTCATGTCACTGTTCTTATTAGAAGCAAACCAAAGCAAAGCAGCTTCTGTTTGTTTGTGTCAAGATTTTCTTATCTGGGATCTCTCTCTCTCTTTCTCTTTCTAACAACAAAAATATAGTACACAAACCTTTGAAGTCTTATACAACTTCTGTCTCTTTCTCTCTCTACTTCTTGTTCTTCTCTCTCTAAAAAAAAAAGAGCTTTCTTTTTTTCTCTTTTTCTGAGAATTAGAACCAAGAAAGAGAAAAAAAATTCTTGTGTGGTGGCCCCATCAGATGTAAATCTCCAATCTTTTTATTCAGTTTCATTAGGATCTGAAGTTTCTTTAATTCAATGCTCTACTTGTTTCATAATTATTATTATTATTATTAAATATTTATTTCCCATTATTTTGAGTTAATAATTCCACTTTTTTTGGGGTCACTCAATTTATCATGATTCTTGAGTTGGTGAATTACTTCAATTTATGTTCATTGTTCAATCCATGAAAAGGGTATTGAGAAGAGTTGGTTTCAAGATGTGGGGTTGAGGTAAATTCTTATTATTATATATTTATTTGCTTTTAGATTTATTCTTATTTGACTTTTAAGACTCCCCCAAGAACAGAATATTTCTATTTTTGCTTTGTTTAGTTTAATTAATGGTTTTGGATTCTAAAATTATGAGCTTTTACATTTTTCTTTGTTACTTGCAGATTTGATTAAGTTCTTGGATTTTACTGGTGATCTTATCTATTTTGGATCTTTTCTAGCTTTTGTGTTTATAATTTCTACCTCATTTACTCTTCTAATTGAAAAAGAGTGGAACTTTAATTGCTTATGAAGTGGTTGATATTCTTAAATTCATTTATTTGTCTGAATTTGGTAGGAAAACTATTACTTTTAGGAAGAAGAAAAGTGGGGGTTAAGAGTTTAAATTGCATGAGTTAAAGATTGAGCCTTTATTAGAAAAAAGGTCCTAGATTAGTCATTTAGCTTTAACTAAATTTCCAATGTGACAAGTAAGAAGTTCATAGTGAAAGTGGATTACATTAAAATCCAATTTATCTGCTATCACAAGATTGCCTGTCTTCATTATAGATTACGGTAATCGGAGAGTTTTGTATTTCAGTGCTGCTTACAGACAAATTTCCAGATAAATTGTAATCTTATTCGCCGTCTGTTATCTTGTTTGTTTCCTCTGCTATCCTTGGACCCTACATTGTGATTCCTTGTTTCTGTGTGCTATAGGGAGCAATTAGTTTTTAAGTCTTGAAATGCCCGGGAATGAATTCACCGCCGTATGGCTGGTCGGCGATTACTAGCTATTCGGCTTCATGCAGGCGAGTTGCAGCCTGCAATCCGAACTGAGGACGTGTTTTCAGTGGGTTCTGTTGGGAAATGATAAATGGCCTACTTAACTCAGTGGTTAGAGTACTGCTTTCATGGGGTGCATGTGAACATAAATTTGACAAAGGTGTGATTGAAAAAGTATATGCAAGTCGTATATCTTGGTTTCTGAAAGAGTGTGAAAACTTCTCGAGTTTTTCCACGTGTTGCTGATGAGAATCGTGCAGAGTGTGTGTAATACTCGGGTTGCTTTGATGCAATTTGTCTTTTGATAATTGTTGTGGTCAGGTTTCTAAGAATAACTTTTATAGGTCCCTTCAGGATCATTTTACTTGGCGGACAAAAGTTGTATGACCGAGTGTCCAAGAATTGTCTCACGTTAAACTTAGGAAATGGTATAAAAGAGAAGTGCACAAGTTGAGACAATGCAATCTTCTACGCCTGGAGATAATCTTGCATGTGCTGACCCGGCATCTTTAATTTGTAATCTATTCAATCAATCCTATGAGAATGTTGACAAAACATTAATTGCTGATTAATGTAAAGGGCTTGAAGTTAGATTTTGGTAGATATACTTGAAGCAGAATAGCTCCCCTCCCCCACCCCCACCCCCACCCCATATAACTGAAAGATTCTTCTTCATGACAATATCTATGCGTTTGATCTTCTCTTCATCAATTTTTCAAGGCGCCCTGATATTTTTATTTTGTTTAGGGTAGGCCCATCAATGAACATATCCACTAGTTGACAAAATAATATGTCTTTCGAGACAAAGTTAGGGGTCCTCTAAAATTAGAGAATATCGAATCCTCGTACATACCCCTACACGAACATACAAGTCTCTAAGCATAGTTAAGAGACTCTTGAGAGCACCGACCTTACATAAGTGTACCAACAACTTAGTCTTAATTGCTACTAGTACTGTCGCCTACACTGATGCTGTTTCATTTTAGCTAAGTCTACGTAGGATGTAGCTAAACCATCTTAGGATACCTCTCTTATCATCTTTGTGTTCTACTTGTTCATAGCCGTTCTATAGTTTTATGTTTTTTTCCGAAGCCATTCTATAGAAATTGACTTTCACTTTGTTAGTATCTTCTTATCATATCACACTCCCATAGCACTCCTCCTTTTCACTCCTGTTTTAATAATACTATATATGTTTTCATTCTCCTGGATGACTAAACTTGAATATTTGAATTATCTGCATTTAGATACCAAAATCCCATCTACTCTCACTTAGCTTTCACTTTGCTAAACGTGCGGTATCCTAAAACCTTTACTCTCTAATATGCATATCTATACTTCCAGTTTTGGTTGATTTTAACTAGCTCCGTCACATACTAAAAGATGTACATAATAATATGTTTACCCTCTCAATGTTAACGTGCTTTACTTAATGCCTATTGGAGATTGTAATGCTGTTGGTTTTGCTGTTATGAGTTGGGATCATATGTGCATAAATATCATGTAGGGACTGAATATCTCAATTCTGTTTCCTTGTGATCATACATCTTTTTAGAACAGTTTTGAAGTTTATTCAGAATAAACTGCTCGGTTTTAATTAAATTCTCGATTCCTAATCTTGGCAGGAATGGGAACACAAGTGCACTGTAAAGGCTACTTAGCAAGCTATTACTCTATGAGGGACTTTAATGAGGACTCTAATAGCAGCAGTTGGCCCCTATTTTATGCAGATAAGACCTTACCGAACGGTCAATATTGTAATGGTTTCACGTCAAGGACTATAACTGATGCATATCGAGGATATGATAAGGAAATTCTGAAGCAGAAGATGCTTGAACACGAGGCCATATTCAAGAATCAGGTAATTTTGCCTTTTTTTTTTCCAGAAAAAGTTTAATTGGAAATTTTAATTGCCCTTTTTTGCTTTGTTTCATCCGGCATTACAAAAATATGCTTATGCAAAGGTTTGGTTGTAGGTGGTGGAACTTCATCGCCTTTACAGAATTCAGAGGGACATGATGGATGAAATTAGAAGGAAGGGAATGCATAAACTTCGCTCATCGATGGAGCCATCATGTTCATCTAGTCACCTAGGATCTCAAGTACCATCTGAAGATGCTCGGAAATGGCACATAACAAACTTCCCCTTGGAAAATTCCAGTTATACTAGACCATCTACATCTGGTACTGACATTGTTAATTCTCCCTTTAGTTCTTCAAAAGGAAATGGTGTACAGTCTGGTCGAGTTCAATTGCAGAACGGTTATTCTTCAAAAGCCTCTGATGTTTTGGAGACTAGGCCCTCGAAGGTCCGGAAAAAGTTGTTTGATCTTCAACTTCCAGCTGATGAATACATAGATACAGAGGAAAATGAGCCGTTGCGAGATAATGTAGGATCTTCATTTCCCAGTTATCCTGCTAATGGAAATTATATAGTTGCCCGAGAGAGTGGAACAAAATTGTTTCTTGGTGGTGGTGCAAAGAGCGATAGCGGAAAAGATGCTTCGGCATCCAATTCATGTTTGAGAAGCTCTATTGGGTTGGCTGATCTAAATGAACCAGCGCAGCTTGACGAAGCCACCTGTCCTGCTGCTTTTCTTGGTTATGGTAATAATCATAAAGAAATTAGAAGCACAAATGCTTCTGCAAGATCAAATCCGCCGTTTGTGGCTTTGCCTTGGAATTCCAATTGTGCACGCCCGAATGACTCTTTAAGTAACGTATATGCTGACAGTAGAACCAAAGAGAGGGAGTGGTTGGCATCGGCATATGAAACAGGTAACAGTTCCTTTCAAAACTTCTGCATCTTACTCGAGTTTAGCAACTTCCGGAGTTCATTTCTACCTACTTTGAGTTAGTGACTTTTGAGAGAGAGAGGTTCCTTGTTTCTTGATTTCTGTGATGATATATAAGGGGTTTGTTTCAATTTGTAGGTAACACCAATGGTAGCTCGGCTTCATTTCCGAGAGGTATTGGACAAGAGAAGATACCTGCAGCTTCCCATCAAGCAACAGTAATGATTAACAAAGCCTATCAACCGCCGGGAGTTCATCCAATTCACCAAAGTAAGGATGGCATTTGGAAAGATAGAGCAGGGCATAGTTTAGATATCTCTCACAGAAATGGCGAGCAGTCCAATTATACTCATGGTGAACCATTTGTTACTTCCAAGATGGCTAGTCCATATCCATGTCCAAGTTCCTCCGACTTTAGCAGTTCGTGGCCACACTCTGTCTCCCCGTGGGAGAAGCCAAGCGGTAGCTTTACTCAGAGGTTATCCTCAATGCATGCAAACTCATTCTTCAACTCTTCTGCAGTAGTTGGTAAGGGTTCACAGTCATCTCAGAGCCAAATTGGCGACAATTGGCATGTGAACGGCAGTTCTAGGTTGCATCCTATCCGTAATGGTTTTTACCATGGGTCCTCATCCGGGACCAAAGAATCAATTCACTTTCCTACAGCTGCTTTTGACTCTTTGAACCATATTAAGGGGGACCATTTTATGTCTCAGCGCTCCTCTAACAATGCATGTGAGAATTTTCTCATTAGCTCTAACAATGCGGATGTTGTGACATCTGGAAAAGGTTTCGACTTAAATGAACTATCAAAGAGTGTACTTAGTGAAGAACTTCCTAGGCAAGGTGTTGAGTTTGGTGATGAAAAAAGAGAGCCTCAAGATCCGGTAACAGCTTTGCCATGGCTTAAAGCTAAAGTAAATGGTAAAAGTGAGGGCGTCAATAGTAGGATAGGTGGAACTTCAACAAATTCTGGCTTTGTCCAGGCCTACTCAAGCCCTTCTTTTTGCCAAACACCGATTGATCCGTCAGTTTCTGAAGATCACCGCATGAAGACCGCAAAAGAAGGGGAGACGCGGCATATAAGAAAAATTCTTGGTGTTCCAATCCTTGATATTCCCTCTGCTTCCAGAAATGAGTCATCATCACTTGTTTCCACTTCCGCTACTCTTCGTTCCTCTCCCAAGAGAGAGAGTATCAGACATCAAAGGAGGAGTATGGTGATTGACATTAACATAGCTTGTGACCTTTCTGAGGTCGAGCCCGAGAAACCTGCTGCTGCGGAACAGATTGTTACTGAGAAAGTTATGGAGACAAAAACTACGAACATCAAGAATCACTTCGATTTGAACTCATGTATTACTGAGGATGAAGAACCAGTTTCTGCTGAGAGCAATAAGGCTAAGGTGAAGACTATTCTGGATATAGATTTGGAAGCCCCTGTAGTTATGGACATTGAACAGGACAGTTTGCCTGGAGAAGAAGACAAGCAACGTGAAGCATCTTTGCAGCTACCTGACGATAAACCTGAGCACACACAGGAGGAATTACTCAGGACTGCAGCAGAAGCTATAGTTGCCATCTCATCGTCCAGTCAATGCATCTCCGTAAAGGAAACATGCAATGATCCATCCGATGATCCTCTGGAATCCCTACGATGGTTTGTCGATGTGGTTTCTTCTTGTGCAGCCGAGCTTGATGGCACGATGGTTGCACGTTGTGGTTCTAAGGAAATAGATTACTTTGAGGAAATGACATTGCGACTAACAGAAACGAAGGAGGAAGATTATATGCCAAAGCCTTTTGTTCCTGAATTCCAAACAGTGGAAGATGGAGGGGCCAGTTCACTAACAACCCGACCCCGAAGAGGGCAAGCAAGGAGGGGAAGGCAACGAAGGGACTTCCAAAGGGATATCCTTCCCGGTCTAGTTTCATTGTCAAGGCACGAGGTGACCGAAGACATTCAGACGTTCGGAGGGTTGATGAGAGCAACGGGCCATACTTGGAACTCCGGTTTGACAAGAAGGAACGGGACAAGAAACGGAGGTGCTAGGGGAAGGCGGAAAACAGTTGTGGTCGCCACCCCTGCAACGGTGTTGACCACGACGAGCTCTCCGCTAATGCACCAACTTAATAACATTGAAGCTAGTTTGGAGGATAAAAACCTAACAGGGTGGGGAAAGACACCTAGGCGCCCGCGGAGGCAAAGATGCCCTGCAGGTAATCCTCCGGCTGTCCTGTTAACTTAAACACGAGCAAAAATGACGTAATATTGTCGATTCATCATTTATAGAGATGACATTTAACGGATTTAGGGAGCTTTGTTTATGAGTTTCAGGAGTGAGAGTTTTTAGCTATATGGGGATTGTTTTTGTACATGTCTTTGTTTGCTCCATAATTTGGAGCCCCCATTATTATGTTTCTTACATTGGATTACTGACCTTGTATTCAAGAGGATGCTGCTGCTTAATGTCTCGTGTATTTATACAGCATTTCTTTAGCTGTGTATTAATGCTATTCAGTGCCTCTTGCAGAAATGCAGGGTAAGGCTGCGTACGATAGACCCTTATGGTCCGGCCCTTCCCCCGGCCCCGCGCATAGCAAGAGTTTAGTGCACCAGGCTGCCCTTTAGTGCTGCTGTTTGGTTCCACATGCTTTTTCCTTAATTTTAACATCTAATTCTCATGAGATTTGGCCATTTGATCTTATGAGAAATGCTATTATTACTGTAAAGAAACCAAAGATTATATTTGAGAATGAATTCTTTATTTGCTTTTTCTAATAGAGAAATAGTTTGGATAACATCATTCTCAATTTAACGCCCAAGTAATTTTGTTCCTTATGTTGCCTTAATTTCTCTGTTATTGCATATTAGGCAGAATAGCCGAAAGAATAATACCTCCTTCATTAATAAAAATAAATAAAAATCTCTTTCTAATTTTATTTTCTTGTTAGCAACTAATAATAGTAACATCAGTAGTCGAATAGCTGATTTTTTTTTGTTTGTGTATATACATTTATATAAATTTTATACATTTTGTGACTGTCGAATATAGATAATTTTGGCTGCGGACTAAAAGTGATCTAATAGATTTCCTGTTTGGGCCTACAAAGTACTAGGTTGGACAATGTACTCCCACGTTTTGACCATTGTTCGGATCTCCACTTCTTTGTCTCTGTGGCTGATACGTAATCGGTTTGTGTCCAAAGGTGTGGATCATCACAAGAATCCAAAAGATTACGTGTGTGTCTGAATGGATGGAAGTCTTTGTCCTTTTTTTTTTTTTTTTTTTTTTTTTTTAAACCCGTGGTTTCCGGGCATCGCTTTGCGAACCCGACTAGCTATATCCACCGGGACCCGCTGTTTGAATGCGTGCACCACGGTTAGTTCCACGGGGCCCTGGAGACGCGGCCGGTTTGTAATGCCTCGAGTGGCCCTACAGGGGCTCGAACTGGCGACCTGAAGAATATATTTTTGGAGAATATATTTTCTTATTCGGCTGTGAGTGAAAAATATTTTTCGAAAAAATAATAAAAAGTTTCACAAGTTGTAATGTGTTTTGATAAAATCTTGAGTACCAAAGATTAATAATAACGTCTAAGTATTAGTGGGAACAAGTAACATGAATTTAAATGTCAAAGTAGTTGTACGGAAAATGACTTCCGTCCATAAATGAGAGTTATTTTCCTTATTTTCATGGATAACATTTATGACATACCAAACACACCTACAAATAGAATCTAGATATTATTAGATGGTCATTTTCAACTTTCTAGAGATATAGCACTAATTCTATATCTAGGAGTTTCAAGTAGGGGTGTACATAGGTCGGGTTGGTTCGGATTTTATAATTACCAAACCAAACTATTTGTGTCGGGTTATTAAATCTAAAGACCAAACCAAACCAATAAAACTCGGGTTTTTCACTCTCGGTTTTTCTCGAGTTTTTGGGTTATTCGGGGTTTTTCGGGTTTTTTTTCCTGTAAAATCTTCGTAGAAAAAATATATAAATTGTGCTCAAAATATTTCTTTAATCCTAGTAAGATACAACTATATAAAGTATTTTTCAAGAAAATAATACAAACTATGAGATGTGTCATGGCATTATCCAAAAATATTCAACAATAAAGACAATAAAATTATGTATAATAAATAGTGCTAATTAAAAAGCCATAATAAAAATAAACATAATCTAAAAGTACTAAGTCATGATAAAATAGGTAGACTGATAAGGGAGTATTAATTACATGACTAAACGCTAAAGAAAAAATAAAAATAAGTTATGCATTTTTATCTAAATTATTGCAAAACAAAAAATAGATATTCAATACATTTCCGTTCGTAGCATTGAATTGAATGTCTTTAGTTAGCATTAGTACTGTTTAGGATTTTGTAAGCATTATTTAGTTTATTACTGTTAATGGCTATAAAACTTATTGGAACATTCAAAAGTTTCATGTCCAACATTGAAATAATACCTTGAAAGATAAAATTATGAAATTTTTTAAGAAATATTTATAAATTACATCACAATAAGTATATTTATATATTAAATATATCTAAAATTTCTATATATGTAACGTCGGGTTGGTTTGGTTTCGGTTTGACTTTCTTTAGTTAAAACCAAACCAAACCAATTAGGTTCGGTTTTTTTTTTCCAACACCAAACCAAATCAAACCAAACCATAGTCGGATTTTTTTTCTCGGTTTGACTCGAATTATCGGGTTGGTGCGGTTTGTCGGTTCCCTTTGTACACCCCTAGTTTCAAGTTTTGATTTCCATCGTCTCTTTTCCCAACAATAACTAGCAAATTTGAGGTAATTAACAAAGGGTAGTAGTAGTGTAAGGCTAGTAGTAGTAATAGTTACAGTAACACCAATAATAATAAATCTTTTTCACTTGAGCATGAGTTTCTGTCTACCACATTGAGCTGATTGAGATTAGCCATTCACATTCTGGCACAATTTCTGTCTACCACAAAGCGAGTATCGGACACTGGGTGGGAAACCAAAAAAAGAAAACACGCTTGGCAGATTTCTGACAACTTTGAAAGCAAATTATTAAGTGCTAAGTTAGAAATTTGTATAGAATGAGAGTTTATTACACAATTTCTTTGATGTAACTGATATTGTACACCATATTAAATTGTCTTAACCAATGCCTTCAAACTCTCAAGAGGAAATAGCACAGGAAGAGTAAAATACAGAAATAATGACATAGGCTGATGCAGTTAAATAGAACCCTGCATTTTTTACTAGGGGTGTACATATGTGAAATTCACTACAATATGAAAAATATTAAATTGTGAACGCATAGTGTAAAAAATGTAATGGATTCAGAGGTAAGAACCTAAAGGTTGAACCCATCAAATATAAATCTTTCATCCGCCCACCTTTGTAACAATTGACTTGTTTACCATATGGAGAATCTGCTGTAGGCCTAAGAGAGATTTGTGCTGACCACTTAATGGAATAAACTCACTAAGAGAGATTTGTGCTGACCACTTAATGGAATAAACTCACTTGACAACCAGCAAGTTTACTGCAACAGCATTGCTAGCATTGGCTTCACACTTGCAGCAATGTCTTATCAATGTTTCAAGTAGAAAGCCATGGTTCCATGCCACATCAGAAAGTGGATTATGGACCCTACTCTTTGATCTCCATTTTTGTTTCCATTCTAGTGTTGGGTAAAACATGCATTTCATTCGAATTCTCGTCTTTCTTGATTCGGCTTCATATGACTTATGAGTTTCATAGTAGTCATCAGGACCGTCTGCTTTAGTATAGTGCTGTCTGAATGCCAAGGCTGGTTGGAGTTGACAAGTCGGCCCTGGATCAAGCTTTTGGTCTATCCATGAGAATAGCTACTTGACAGAAAGAGAACAATAGTAGTGAGCTCCGTAGCAGACATAGTTCAACCTTGGGAAGCCGTTGAAGAGTCTCCTGATGAACCAAAACAGAGCTATCCCTCTTAGCCAGCGTTTGTCGGATCAGCAGTCACTTCCAGTTCAGAGCCTGTATGAAATCAATATTGCATCTTCCCAGACAAATCAGTTCTTTAATTCCAAAACCATGGAAAATCATAAGCTGGAGATTTCCCTTTTTGAGAATGAGTATGTGTCATCTGCTTTGCCAGTATGTATTCTTTTCTCAACTTCGATCATACTATACCCATCGACCTTTCTCAAACCTAAACATCGCATCTTTGACCTCACCACCCTACTTTCATTCCATTCTCCCCCTTCTGCATATATGTTCGATAATAAGGTATAGTATCCAGTATCATCTGTCTGCATGTTTTCAAGCCTTTGTTGAATCATCTTAATAATATCCATTCTCTTGTGAATTCTACATCCATTTACTAGGGCACCCCAAATGCTAACATCTGCAGGGAATGGCATCGAAATGATGACTTCATATGCTTTATCTATATCACCAGCTCGACTCAGAAGATCAACTAGACATGCAAAATGTTCGGGTTTTGGTTCAATGCTCAAGTTAATCATCATACTGAAGAAATATTTCCCTTCATCCAGAAAACCAGCATGGCTGCAAGCAGACAGAATATTTGTTAAAATGATGTCATTTGGTTTTATTCCACTATTTACCATTTCATGAAAGAGTGAGATGGCATCATCGATTTGACCGTGCATTCCATAACCACCTATCATGGCACTCCAAGATATTATGCTCCTTTCCGACATATTGTCGAAAACTCTCCGAGCCATCCGGAGGTCTCCACACTTAGCATACATGTCCGTCAGAGCAGTATCAACATACATATCCTGACTCACACCAAAGATGATTGACTTGTGGTGAAGCCATTTTCCCTTCTCCAGCCATCCTATAGCCGAGCATGCTTGAATTGCAGCCAAGAAGGTCACTTCATCCATTTCACTCGAGTTTGAGTATATCTCATCAAAGAGATTGATAGCTTCACGAGAGAAACCATTTTGTGTAAGCCCACACATCATTGAATTCCAAGTCACAACACTTCTTCCTTGTGTGCCCTTGAATATCAAGAATGCACAATCTACAAGTCCACATTTACTGTACATGTCAATCATGGAATTCTGGACAAACTCCTCAGTTGAAAAGCCAGTCCTAATAACATGGCTATGAATTTGACACCCAAATTCGGAAAACCCAATATCTCCAGAAGCTGAGAGGACACTTGCCAGAGTATACGAGTCCGGCAGTATTCCTTTTCTTACCATATCCACAAAAAGTGTCAATGCATTCTCAGACAATCCTTCCTGCACGTAACCCGATATGAGCATATTCCACGACACAATACGTCTGTCTTGGGATGTATCAAATACCTTGTGGCAATCGCTTACCTTGCCACAGTTTACATACAAGTCAACCAAGGCTGACTCTAGAAGATCATCGCCACTATCTATAGCATTTCTAACTATAAAACCATGTATCGACTTCCCTTCCTTTAGCCAACCTAACCTAGCACAAGAACATAAAACAGACATC